ACACACTCACACTCACACGCACACTCACACACGCACACTCACACACGCACACTCACGCGCACACTCACGCGCACACTCACACACGCACACTCACACACGCACACTCACACGCACACTCACACACGCACACTCACGCGCACACTCACACGCACACTCACACACGCACACTCACACGCACACTCACGCGCACACACACTCACACATACACACACACTCTCACGCGCACACTCACTCTCTCACGCGCACACTCACTCGCACACGCACGCACGCACACACTTACGCACACACTCACACACACGCACGCGCACACGCGCACACACACACACGCACGCACACGCATTTTGATAGAAGCTAACTCCCATCAGTAAAAACAACCACAAAGTCTGTTATTAACTAACGCTTAAAATAAGACATTAGTTCAGCTTGGCATTAGTTAAATATATAAACCAGTGTGTTACTGATTAGCAGCGGTATGAGGCATGCATCACTCTAACAGTTACCTGTTTACGGTCTGATCTGTGTCTGACCAGATTCACCTCCCCATAGCTCCCCTTCCCCACAACTCTCACGAACAAGTAACTGTCCATGATCCTCCGTCCAGAGATGCTCTATCACATAGCGAGTGGCTTCAAGCCCTTCCGCAGATGTTGAATGACAAGCAAGCGCGCTATTCTCGATGTACCGACGGTGATTCGTCTGTTTCAAACTTGTTTTGGGTGATCCAGGGCACAGGAACCAGCCATGCACAGCTTTAGCGTCTCCAGGCAACTGAGCGCATTAACTCTACACGCTCCGGGTTCATGAACCTGCCGTTTGAGAACAGCGCCCTCTATAGGCTCAGCGACACGTGACAAATAATAATAACGAGTCATGATTTAGAGTTCAAGGCGAGGCCCTGACTTGATTTTTTTTTGTTTGACCCCTAGAGTCAAGGTATGCATTCACCTTGAGAACTTCATCTTTGTTTCCAAATGCAATGACTTCGGTTTTTTCTTTGTTTAACTGAAGAAAGTTCTCGCACATCCAACTGTTAATTTCATCAATGCATTGGCAGAGGGAGTCAATGGGGCTGTAGTCATTTGGAGATAAGGCTAGGTAAATCTGGGTATCATCTGCATAGCTGTGATAGGCAGTTCAGAGATATGTTTGTTGACAGTGTTGTTTTATGTCCTAATCGTTAACATCTACATACATTTTTAATATGATCTTTAAATTACAAACAGTATAACGGTTAAAGTTGTACGTTAATGTTAATCATGTGTTAACCAGCAGGCCTGTAAGATAAGTCAAAAATGATTATCACCATAGGCGGCGGAATGTTTTTATTCACGTATTAACCGTTGTTTGGGGCACAGGTACAGACTAGTAAACCCATCTGCCATAGCTGAACAAACAGCCAAGTTTAATATGCTATGAATTTTCAAATCTAAAAATACTGCCTGATTAAATATAACACTGATTAAACTGATTAAAGTCACACATTGTAGCTAATATGCTATCTTGTGTCCACTTTAGACATTCTGGTAACTAACTTTGCAACTATGTCAGCTAAATCTCATTAATTTGCAACCACATGTCAACTACTCTAATTAGAGTATTAGTAGACTGTTAGGTTAGGGTTATGATTTGTATAAAAAGTTGACATGTACATGCAAAATTACTTATAGTCAGTAAATCTGTTGGAGGAACATCAAAATAAAGTGTTACTACACTGTAAAAAAAATTCCGTAAAATTTACGGTAAAAAAACGGCAGCTGTGGTTGCCAGAATTTTACCGTAAAAAATACGGTAGCAACGTTTTAGGTTTTACGGTTTTACCTTAAATTTACAGTTAAATACCGTAATTTCATTAACTGATATAATGTTAATATATCAACCTATTGAAGTACTGAAATCTGTTTAGTATTTTTGTAATACACTGATAACCACCAAATGCAGGTGGTGATGAGAAAGTCACATGATGAACCAAAGCCCATCACAAGCAGCTTTTAAATAATAACATATATAGAAGGTGCACAGCGTCATTCACACAAACACTAAACACCATCACGGTAACACACATGAAACTGAAATAATGCAATAAACATTCATTTAACAACATTAGGTGTAACACACAACCCTAAAATACAAAACTGATAAGAAAAAAATAAGAAGAAACATAGTTATTTCAACAAAAAATCATCAAATTTGAAATATCACGCAGGGAATTCTGGGAATGTCAATTTACAGTTATTCACTTTAAATTATACGGTATTTTTCACTTCCAAAAATGGTATACTACCATAAAATATATGTCCAATACATGTAATGTCCAGTACAGTTTTTCACCGTATATAGTAGGGGAATTTACCGTTAACCATTTAACAGGTTTTTACTGTAGCATTTTTACAGTCTTTTACCGTTAAATTCACGGTAATTTTTTACAGTGTAGGGATTCACTAATCAAGCCTTTGCACAGTTTGTATTAGACTAGTTTATATAGTATATATATATATATACATCAGCCAGTGTTCCACACAGAGATCTAGAGAAGAACTGTGGCAATGTCTCCAAGATGCTTGAAGAAACCTGCCTACAAAACTACAGTACTGTGAAAAGTTTGAGGCACACTAAAAATGCTGTAAAGTGAGGATGCTTTCAAAAATAAAGTCATAGATTATATTTATCAGTGAACTTCTATTAACTAAATCAAACCAACATTTGGTGTGACCAACCTTTTTGTTTAAAACAGCTTTTGTACTAGGTATACTAGCACATCGTTTTTCAGGTAGCTTTGCAGGAAGGTTTCTTCAAGTGTCTTGGAGACGTTGCCGCAGTTCTTCTGGATTTATTACAATTAATGACAAAAGGAATGTTTGGGAAATGATCTTTCTACTGACACACTACAGCAAAAGATAGAAATAACTGGCTTAAAAACATTTATTTAATTTATTTTTTTGGGTGAAAATACTAATGGCCTAAGATTTTTGCACAGTATTGTATATATATATATATATACTGTATATATATATATGTGTGTGTGTGTGTGTGTGTGTGTGTGTATATATATATATATATATATAGAGAATGTGTGTGTGTGTGTGTGTGTGTGTGTGTGTATATATATATATATATAGGGAGTCTCCCGCACATCAATAGTGGCTCCCTGACGCCCGCAAATTAGATACAATAGCCCGGAAATCGAGACAAGGGAGAGTAAGAGCAAGAGGAAAGAGTGCCACTTAAGTGAGAGAGAGAGACACATGTAGTGATATATAATCATAACCGTAGCTCCAAAGTTTTTGGACTTGTCTTTTCCACTTAATTTGACACTTTAGAAAGTTAATAGAGTGGGAAGTTTCAATTTAGGGTCAGCGACCTTTGTCCTTATCTTATCTTATATGCAAAATATTTGTAATAATTTCAGTTCATTTGTTTTTATTTGTTTTAATAGCAATATCTGGCAACACTGCATCGCCGGCACTTAAACTGACAGTTATCAGAAGAGCCCATGGACATGTTATTGCTGCTGACAGGATAGCACATTCGGCAAGGGAAACGCAAAAAATATCATGATATTATCTATTAGAAACGTTATCAGCGTTATCAAAAACAGTAGCTTTTAACACTAGCACACAGATCTGTAGAACAAGTAGGTTACAGAATGAAATGAAATACGCTTGCCATGAATAAGTCTATACTATTTTATTCAGCAGTCGTTGCATTTTCACAAAGTCTTGCTAAAAACATCCATAAGAGCACTAGACAAAGTTATCACAGAGCAATGATTATTAATGAAAACTATAACAGTAATATGGATTGTTGCATGAATAATAAACAACTGATAAAATGATCCACCCCTAATCTATAGTAAATATTAACAATGCAATAAATAGAGTCGACTTTGGTATAATTTTACAGCGTTCATCCTTTCAAAACAGAAAACATCTCTCACCTCACTAATTTTCAAACCCTGGCTACGGCCATGATAGTAAGTTTTGAATTGCAGCAGAATGAGCATCCTCTGATGATTGGTCTCATATGTGCTAAGTAGACCAAACGGTTATCTCCTGTTTCATGCAAAATTAATAAAGTCATTGACACAGACTGCTATGACTTTGAGCCATCCAGTAAAATGCACAAATCTGCAAAGCAAGCCACAGAACAAGGATAGTTTGTAATGAACTGCATGCACAAGAGAGACAGAAAACATAATACTAATGTATGTATGTGTTGTACTCTAAATAATTCAACTATGTGCTCAAAAAAAAGGGGGGGGGGGGGGGGGGGGGAAATGCACACACATATACTACAAATATGCAAAAAAAATTGATTTCAGCATTGATAAGAAATGTTTCAGCATATTAAAATTTCTGAAGGATCATGTGTCACTGAAGACTGGAGTAATGATGCTGAAAATTCAGTTTTGCATCACAGGAATAAATGACACATTAACATATATTCAAATGCATTATTGGAATATTTCACAATATGACTGCTTTCACTGTATTTGCTTTTATATCAGCGGAAAGAGGGATTTTCTGAAACACATTCCCTCATCAGCACGCCCTGAGCTCTGAGGAATAAAGATATCAGATAATAATGACAGCTATAAGATCAAATTCCAGGAACACGGATTCGAACAGACTTAACCCCGCCCCCATTACCTGAGAGTCGGCGATCTCTCTCATCTGATTGGCGCAGAGCAGCAGAGGCGCTGTGACGTGAGGGGCGCTCTGAGGCTGGGTCAGCCAGAGCAACAGACGCAGATCTCAGCGAGACCAGAGCGAGCGCAGCCCGGTCACATTACAGCACGAGACGCGCCTCTGCACCTCCTCTACCGCAGGTACCGACAGCCACTGCATTCTAACGTTGTGTTTAACACGAAATGTCGAGGACATGATCGGTAACTGCTGCTGCTTTCCGCAACATGTCAGACATTTAAAAGCTTTTGGTAGCCTTTAATGTTGCTTTTACATATTGATGTCATGTAATGTAAAGTATGTGTGTATGCATGCATAATGCTGCAGACTACTTGCATTAATAATAACTATGCGCTTCGCAAATGCAGGCTAGTCCCACAGATTGAGAAGATCTTACAGTCTGTTTTAGTTTGCATTAGCTGGCTGTCTCTATGTCTTTATGATTGGTTAGTTATCTCACTTAGTCAGAGGGTGGATGTGGTCAACCACTTCTTTAGTTTTTGAATGCACTGAAACTTTGACAGCTGATGGTTTGATAGTATATGAAGAATGGAGATTAGGCTACATTGTTCTTTCTGATGTCGGAGGCATCATATTCTCTTCTTTTCAGATCAAATATTTTACTGTTGTATTAAAAACGCTGCAAGTGTAAAACCGAAAACATCTCCGCAGCATTTAATGAAACTAAATTGAAAAAGAAAAGTACTCTTTTGAACTTCTGCATCATTCTGACATCAGATTTCTGCAAATTATAAACTGTGTTTATCAGTCAGTATTTGTCAGTGGCATTAAAACTGATTAGATGTCACTCCATGCCATTCCATGTTGGCATCTCCACTGTGATGGTGTTTATCATTTAATTATGACTTGAATGTGTAATTCAGGCTGTTTCCTCAAAAGTGGCACAGTTAAAAACGATCAGACTTGACAGCAAAACCACAGCACATGAGTAAAATTGCTTAGCAACGTTATTTATTTCATTTGACACGAGAACATTTACAAAAAAAGCCTTAAAGCAGCAAGAAAATGGTTTACTTCTAAAGGTTAAAAAAAAATAGGGATGCATTGATATTTTGGCTGATACGATAATTATCGTTCTTTATAAATGGAATATGATAACCAACATACCGGCAGATAAATCTAAATCTTGATATCAATTTGTGTAAGCCTTATTAAAAACAAAACAAAAGGCGTATTACGTCCAAGCACTTCAAACTATATCAACTGTAGAAAATAAAGAAACAACACCAAACCCAATTTTTTTTTTTTTACCGATTATAGCCAACTTTGAACCAGTTAAAATGCCTGACCTTTAAAACTCTTTGAATATATCATATATTATTTTCATATCTGACAAATAACACTAACATTAAAAATGAACATCTATTGGCTGATCCCGAAATGACCTCTAATATATTGTGCATCCCAATAAAAATGGTCAATAAATGATGGCTTTTGTGGAAAAAAATAAATACATGTATTTCACAACCCCTTTTAAAATATATGAAACCACACTGCACTGTATCTAACCATTAAAGGACAAAACCTCGCTTCTAATAGACTGAAAATGCTTAATGTTTTAGTTTTAATCACTGTTATCTTATCTCAACATAGCATCTGTCTCTTTTCGCCAGTCAATCAAGTGGTTCCACATGTGTGCCCTTTCTCTTTCAGCCTATTAGCATTTCTTTTCTGCATTTTTGTGCTGTTTCCTCCTCTTTGCCACAGCCAGCGTTGGCATTATTTAAAGCACTTTGGCTGTTTGATTTCCTCATTTGAACATTCTTAGGGATCAGACAGCATGCCGGTTTTAGCTATTAATAATCTCAGATGTAGTTAGTGCCAGTCTATTGGTTGATCAGTTGGTGTACTAGAATAGATCAAGCTTTTATCAGTTATTGTGGGTTGCTCTGACAGTCAGACTGTGATGTGCAGATAGACACAATAATGTTAGGGCTGGTTACAAGCAGCATGTCTTCCTCTTTGCAAAGCCTTCCTTTGTGCAATCATTTGTGCAGTTCTGTATAGGCTGTAGAAGGAAATAAAGTCACAGTTATCGCTGCATTATAAGTGTTCTAAAACATTAACATTAACAGCGGCATTCACTTCCCTTTAGAGTCATGTCGAGCATGCCGTGCTTCGACAGAAGCTACAGGAACGTAAAAGAAATTTACAAACTACGGCATTTTGTTCTAGAGCAAGTCACGATGGTGCTGTAATTAAGAGCTGAACCTTGAACCTGTCTGCAAATAGCATGTGGATCACACACTTGATGGGTTGATTGTCACAAGCAGCCATATGGCATTTGTGTATCTGTAAGCATCTCTTAAAGGGACAGTGCACACAAAATGAAAATTCTGTCATCATTTTCTCAACCGTATGTCATTCTAAACTTGAATGACTTTCTTTCTTCTGTGGAAAACAAAAGAAGATCTTTTGATCTCAGTGTTTTTTGCCCACGCACTGAAAGTCGTGGCGTCCAACTTGTTTTGGACCCCAATGACTTTCATTGTATGGGCAAAGAACGCTAAAATATTCTTTGTGTTCCTTACAAGATAGAAAGTCATCCAGGTTTGTGTGTTTATTGGCTAGCATACACTCTATTAATAATGTTTAGTGAAGTTCTGAAGATGCATCAACTAAAAAGATCATATTTTAAAAGACCGAGCTTGGGATTTAAGAATTGTGAATAATCGGATATAAAGATAGATTAAAATTGATTTATGGGTCTTGTCAACTAAATCAGTCAAGCTCCACAAATGATGAAAAATGCAAATAAAGCACCATATTTTGCATTATGTTCCAAGTCTTTTGAAGCCCCTTGAAACACTGTGTGTGTGAAGAACAGACAAACATGTGAGTTGTTATTCACAGATGATCTTCCCCAATTCGGGGGTATGCGGATTAGTTTGATTTCTGACATAATTGTAATGCAAACCGAACAATGTTGATTTGGGAACCTTATAAACAGAAAAAGCAAGTCATTCCTATAGCTTGTTTTTGCACATCCTGTGGTGGAGGCCTTTGTAGGGTGAGAGAATACTCGCAAAGGTTACCGCTATTTGTATATAAGCTCTATACTTCCTGAATTTGAATTATGTTGTGGTTAGTTAGCTCACCTTAAAAGGGGAAGTGCAGTTTGTGGTCATAAACGCCAATGACAGACTCTATTAGCATGAATCATGAATCGTTCTGAGTGTGGTGTGACACTGTTCCGACCTGCTGAAGGTTTAGGTGTCACTCTGTATCTCTTCTGTCCTCTTCTGAGCAGCCATGGGAAACCAGTGAGTATCTCCATCGTCTGTCTGATGAATTCAACATTTTGAATGCTGCATGATGATCTATAGATGGTAGCGTTGTGTCTGTTTTCAATCCTTCAAGCTTGCCTTTTGATTCTCCTTTCTATGTGGGTTAGTTTATAGCTCTTCTACAATAGATTTCTTGACCTCTCCATGGTTCGACACTAACAAACGATGAACTGAAACCTTTTCTACCACTGGACCTGCATGCACAGTGATCCAAATGCCTTTGTTATGATACATAAAACTTCTTGCCTGAGATTTGGGATGCCTTTAAATCTTTGGTGTATGTTCATATTTTGCTTGCCTGGGGAGCCTTGGATGAAGTTTAGACTAACTCATGGATGTGTCTGTATGCTCTGGTGATTCTTTAATGAGAAAATGGGTTTGTCAATAGAGAGAATTTAATGTCTCCCATCTTCTTTGCATGCGTCCATGTTAGATGTTGGCCCAGGCATCACGTTTAATTCCTGCACTCTTTCTTTGCTGTCTTTAGCTGTTTTGAGCTTGTCAACTGTCTGGAATGCAGAAGTTTTAAGGAAGTATACCAGTTTTAAGAGAGATTTCCTGCATTAAAATAAATATTTTCTGTGAAATTCTGTGGACGACTTTGTGACATGTTTTCGATTACCTCAGACGTACACATATCTCAGTTGTAAAAATCAAAAGTGCAGCAATCGCAGTGATATGTAGCCCATTTACATGTTTGTAGCTAATCAAATTTATTCGACTTCAGTTAGACTTACAAAGTAGTCCACAATAAAAGAATACATATGTATAATGTTAAAGCAAAAGTGTGATTGGTGCAATTATGAACTGGTTCAGGTTTCAATTATTACGGTAAAGCAGCATAGCACTTTGAGAAATCAATATATGTTGAGTCAATTTAGTTATGCTGTCACATCAAGTATGCCCTAATTATACACCACATCCTGTGGTCTAGTGAGAAGTCTGATGTTTCCCATAAAAAAAAAACCGGCCGAGTAGTGCATCCATATTAGCCAAGGGAACCAAAGTCTATAGTCTTTGAGTGAACTAAAGCATAGCCTATAATGCAAGTCTATGGAATAACATGTAATATCCCATAAATGTTAATTGTAGGGAAATTTCTTGCTTGTTTTTGGGTCAGAATTTTCCAGAAGAAAAGAAAAATTCATGCAAGATAAAGACCATTTAAACTAGGGCTGCACAATTAATTGAATTTCTAATCACGATTACAATTATGGATGCCACAATTATGTAATCGTTCAAAGCGGCAATTAATCGTTCAAAGTCCACTTATGTTATTCTGCACGCTTAAGGTATGTTTTTTTCTTTCTACATGTTATCTTAAGGGATTTTCCATTTTTTATGTTTTAATATAACATAATAATGCCATTCATATTTTTACTTTTTTTATAATTTAAAGAAGAAACCGATCCGATGTATATTTGATATTTGAGGCTTAATACTATAGAAAAGCACTAAAGGTTTTTCAGTTAGAGTGTTTTCAGCTTGTTTATTTTCATATAAA